CAATTCCGATGGTCACATTACACGTCACTCAGTGAATCCAAGGATTATAGGCAGCACGTTTGCAAATATCTTCACACATTTGTTTATTAAACACTCGTCGTGTCCCAAAACAAACTCGCCACTAAAGTGTCGTTTAAGACATTTATTGCATAATATAATATAAAGTCCCACAAGTCAATTTATAAAATATGGTAGAAGTTTTCCGAATACGTTATCATAGGTATATCGGGGGTGATTTCCCGACCGAATCGATCGTGAGGCGGCGTCCCTGGCCTACTCTATAAGCGATACTCATCTACAAATTACGGGGGCCCCGTAAATCGAAACCGGGGGCGGCCCCCTTTGCCGGAAAAATCTATATCTCCTAACAAGCCACGAGGCCTTTGAAAAGTCGACAGTTAACTTGGCTCTTTGAATTTTTTTCGACCTGCCTTGCTTCGCCGTATATATATACATGGTACAAACAGAAACATTTCCGAAGCGGCACGGGTCTCCCTTTTATCTATATATAATATATACATTACGTTCGTATATATGCCCATATATATATATATATACATACACACAACGCGAAAAAACCCTTAAAAGCCCGGGTATCAAAACAGAAAAATCGAACGCTGGAAAGCCTTCGGGAACGATCTCCACCATTTTGACGCCCGCCCTTCGCAATTGGGGTTGCCGTGGCTACGTACCGCCTTCCGAATCGTTCGTCGGGCCCGCCGATTGGTCCGTTCGGATGAAACCGGAACGGGGATGACGTATACCACGCGTCGGGGTGTTTTGTGATAACGGCCGAACAACGCACGGAGTCGCGGCTATCACATTTTAATGTTGTTATAGTCACTTGGCGCCCGGCTTAGAGACATAAGCCAGTCCATATTTAGATCGCAGTTTAGCGTGCAGCCAAAATTTAATTGAATCAGTCACAGATATTAACAATATCAGGAGCGGGATACGCGCGATTGTTTTAAGATCGAGAGGCTCTCTGACCCCCTCCAGATTATAGAGGGACGAACGTCGTCGCCGTCGAGGTTTTTGTGCCGCGGACGCGGGCGACCGCCGCCGCCGCCGCCGCATCCGTCGCCGTCGGGTTTGTTGGTGTCGCGTGCCGGATATCCGCTTCCGTTGGTGTCGGTGCGAGGTACGTATACTTATTTAATCTACAGCCAAACTGATCGGAATTCTGAACGCGCTACTTGAAAGCGCACATTTTTCAACCCAGTGGTACTATGAGACGAATCTTCATCATTTAAACGCACTTTTTTCCAACTGAAAAGTTCCATAATTTAACCAAAATTGGGAATAACGAATTTCTAAGTACACAATTGGCAATTAAATTTATTTCTTCTAAATCAATGCAAATAACAAATAGTGTCGACGTTGTGTTACTTAAATAACAATAAAAATAACCAAAAAAATATCCTGCAAACATATATACAAAAAAGAAGATATCAAGGAATATTATAGAACAAAGTTAGCAACAAGAGACAAAAAAGAAAAACAACTTCTTCGGTAAATAATTTTAAAAGGAAAAAGATGAAACAAAGCTAGTTTGATCTTATAGTAACATAAAATACCCGAGAAGGAAATGCAATAATTATTAATGCTAACTTAAACTTCTGTATTGGCATGAGCGAACCGTCGATGAGATTTGTAGTCGAACTTTTGTGCCTGCAATATAGTAAGATAGTGCGATATGACGATTCAATATCTATCACCAAAATGATCGATCAAATGACAACTTTCAAAATATTTGAATTACAGTAAAACTTTTAGACATTAGATTAGACATTTCTCCCGAATTCCGATTCGATTAGGACGCAAGAGATGAGACGCCAAATAATCCAAAAATCAAATTTAAATTTTCATCCTTTCTTACAATTTTAGACAGAGTAATTAATTGCGTAACAGAAAATAATTAATTATTATCCATCGGTTACATCCATAACTGCGACTTGTCAAAGTTTTCGATGACAGGCGACGGGAAATTTTTTCACATGAAAACTAAGTTTGACTTACGATTTCACGTCGGGACTGATAGTCAAAATTCTTTCAAAGGAAATGATCATTAACAACAAATCTATAAAATACTTAACAGTTATTACAAAAAATAATTAATGTAATAATATTAGACATTATTATTATTAATATTGTTATTACATTATTATAATAAATTTATTTTGGCTTCAATTCTAATCTTGCCTTATTAAGCACCGAAACAACATGAAGAATGTAATCCATTGTGATCTAAACAGATATAAAAAAATGTTGACATTGGGGATGTTACTGTTTTGATTTGATGAACAAACATTTCAAGTATTGTGATTGTAATTACTTAGAAAAAATGACATTCTATCTATGATAAACAAAATTAACTTCAAATTTCAATTACTTTTCACAACTGCAATCGAAAAGTCAAACATTTGGTAATTTTCATTGCAATACTGAATTCTAAAATGCTCTTTGTGAAAAACATTTTTAATATTAGATGCAAGTTGATTAACTATACTAATTACACTCAATTATACTTAGCATTAAAAATTTAATGCTTAGTTTAATTGACTCACGATAAAAACAATTTTAGTTAGCTGAAATAACTAATATTGATACTCAACGTTTTTTAAAGAATGTTGAACAAGTATCATTAATAAGAATCTGTAGTTTTATATAGAGATAAGTGGAACTATAACTACCTTCAAATTATTCTTTGGTTATACATAAGATGGTTTTTGAATACTAAGGTGTTTTTAAAAATAACTGAAATATAATCTTAATTGATAATTTAACAACACATGAAATATCGCGCTAAATTTACAAAAAGTAAAATTTATTCGGCAGGGTGTCCCACCGGAATTTGTCGAAAATTTGGAGTTAAAGTAATGTTAGGGTGGCAATACGGCTAATAAAGGGTGTTTCTTTTTCGATGTATAGAACTTTAAGTTGCAATAAAACAACGATGGATTATTCGATTGACATGAATTTTATTTATCCGAAAGATAATCTTGTGGCATTACCTTTTAAATATGATTTCTGGCATATGACCGCCACGGCTGGCGCGGATGTAGTCCAATCTGGACGTCCAATTTTCGATGACTTTTTCCAACATTTGTGGCCGTATATCGGCAATAACACGGAGAATGTTGTCTTCCAAATGGTCAAGCGTTTGTGGCTTATCCGCATAGACCAATGACTTTACATAGCCCCACAGAAAGTAGTCTAGCGGTGTTAAATCACAAGATCTTGGAAGTCAATTCACAGGTCCAAAACGTGAAATTAGGCGGTCACCAAACGTCAAACGTCTACGCCTTACTTGATGATCGTTTGGCTTCAATTCTTGCACGAGTTGGATTTTGTAAGCACGTAAACCAAGATCCTTCCGCAAAATCTTCCATAAAGTGGATGGACACAGATATAATTCCTGTGCTCGATAGCGGATGGACTCATTCGGATCTTCCTCAATGCTACGCTCCACAGCAGCAACAGCTTCTTCTGTACGCACCGTACGGCGTCTCTGGGGATGCGAGTTATCAATAAGAGTAAACGTGGTGCGAAAACGTTCCATGGTTAATCGAATTAACTGCTCTGATGGACGATTTTGTCGACGATAAAATGGACGTAGTGCGCGATACGTATTCCGCACAGAACCATTATTTTCGAAATAAAATTGCACTATATTCAGGCGTGAGTCTATTCATGATGAATTGCCAAACCAAACTGAGAATAAATCACTTGACAGCTGTTAAATCGGTCGCCATCTTGAACAGTAATGCCAACTTAAAGTTCCATACATCGAAAAAAAAAACAACCATTATAATATACCGGCTCTAGGTAGGTACTTCTTTATTTTAAACGGAACACTATGTATTATTGGTTTTCCGGATTCCCCGAAAAATTCTAGACATATTTTGTGTAAATTTGTGTTAAATTTTACGGTTTCTAAGGTATTATATAGAACCTAATGCAAAATAGATGTATTTTTTCGGTATTGTTATTTTTTTCAAAATCCTGTATTATTAATAATCGAAATTATTAACAAAATTTATTCAAATGATCATTTTCTACAGGGTAAGTTAATATTAGTAAAATTTGAAAGGATTCCGTATAGGGAAAATGTAGGTATAAATATTATTAGATTAATTTTCCGGTAAATCCAAAATAGCAATATGTAATAATATATGGGCTGATTTATTTAAAATAAGAAAGTTGTCACGCACTTCCGGCATATTCGGATGTGTAGCCATCTTGAAAATATATTAACCGGATTGTTCCCACTAATATTAGAGTCTTGAACTGAGGTGGGTTTTACTTGATGAAAATTCATTTATCAAAATAAATAAGAACTAAAAGTTCAGATTCTCACGAAATTATATATTATGACATGACAATTGTTTCGACAATACCGTGTTTTAATCAAATGTGACAATCAAATGACATTTGATAAAGACACGGTGTTGTCGAAACAATTGTCATGTCATAATATATAATTTCGTGAAAATCTGAACTTATTTATTTTGAATATTAGAGTCATTCCAATTTTTTACTACTGATAGTTTTCCTATAACAGATCGACGAAATTCCAGGTCGGACATCCTGTATAGTGCGGAATATTACCGCACTTTGCATATCATATTATTCAAAAACCAATAAATGCTGTTTTCAGTTGCTTTGCATTTTTATTTCAATTAAAAGTCAGTTTTCGGGTAGCTACAAATTTCGGACACAACCACAACCACAAGCTAAATCAACTGAAAATTGACCAGAAGCAGACGTTTTGAGGTCTTTAACCTGTCGCAAAGTTGTAGAGAAACAAAAAACTGAAAAAAAAAAGTACTACTACAGATTAAAGGAAAATTTTGAATTGAAACTTTTCTCTCGTCGTTCTCCCAAAATCTCCTTATAACGTCTCCTCGCTTCGTTTCAGGAAATGCGAGCCGTGGGGGCCACCTGCATTCATATCTCCTAAGTTCAACAGCGCAGTGACCTCAAACCCATCGGTCTTTAATGACCCCGAAAATATAAGCCAGTGTCAAACCAACCACCAAGTTGGATTTCAAGGGTGTGTCATCGTGCTTGGGAGCTCTCGGAGGTTCCCCGGCCCCCTCGGCGCCGGCTACGTCCACCGACGATCTCTCTCACCAGCAATTCAATATTTTTCCCGCGATTTTCTCGCGTCAGCTCAATTTTAACGCTTGTCCGCAATCCAAATCGATGATGGACGACTTGAGACCGAATCTGGTCGGGGTGGGGAACCTCCTCGGGGTGCAGGGACTGCTAGACGATCACCACCAGCACCTGAGCAACAATGACAAGACCGCGAGGAAGTGTAACACTAGCGGATCGTCTGCAGAAGATTTTAACGTATTGTATGGGGGTTTGTCGCATTCCCACGACCACCACGGTAGTCACACGCCAGCCCATACACCCCCCACCACCGCGAGGTCGATTGCAGACCACACGGGTAAGTTGGTTAATTATTATAATGATTATTTTTTTCTGTAGTTTTCTTAACGAAATTTGGTTAGTTAGTTGGGAGGGCCGGGATATTATTCGGATCCATAAGAACTTAAGAAGAGTAAGGCAACCAAATGTATCCAGAAATGATAAACATAAAGTTCGGTGTAAAATGATTTTTAATTTGGATGAATATTGAAATTAAATCACTAATATTAAATCTTCTTATATTTTTAAAAAATCCTATTACGTTTGCTCAGATATTAGCTTTAATTATACATAAAATGAAATTCAAGAACCATTTCTTACAATAAAAAATGTATATAAAACAAAGCACATAAAAGGCATATGAATAGGGTTGTCAGAAGAAGAAGAAAGCGGGAAATAAGGTTATTGCTTTTGAGGGGAAAGGAAAGGAAAGTAAATGTAGTGCTAGCAAAAATTTTTCGGAGTGCCATGCGTTAATTATCCGGCATGTGTCTTAAAAAAGATAAAAATTTTATAATAAGATGGTATTACAAAGTGATAAAACTTGGAATAAAGGCCATTTCTTATATATTTATATTTATTATGCTAAAACAAATAAAAAAAAACAAAAACTAACAAAAATTTTATTTTTATTTACGTTAAACTAAACAAAGAAAAATGAGCAAAAATTTCACTCAAACATTGCACAAACATTATACAAAGGAATATTATTGCAGACACAAGAGGAATCCAGAAGTTTTGTAAAAAGTAAGAATAGAATATTTGTATGTTTTGTTTTTTTCGATAAAATTTTTGTATAAAAAAATAACCCAAAAACTAAATCGGAGAGAGACAAACACTGGGGAGATTTGCGTTGCTTTCTTAAAAGGTGCTTTATTATGTACTAATAATGACACTAAGGTCTTCAATGATGAAAAACAATATTACGGTTAACAAGACGTGTTAACAAAAGAGAGAACAATGCGTAATTAATGAAGAGTATGAGAATGATACATTTTAATTAAATCATTAATTATTAACTCGTTCGCGACAACTAAGCCCTCCAGACTGAAATAATAGGAAACCTGAACATTATCAGCAAATTGATAATGAAGAATCGTTTTTTTACATTAAGTGCAAGTTCATTAACAGACGAAGGGAAGAGATTTTCTAATTTCATCTCCATTTTATTTACACACGCCAAATTTCTTAAACGTATACACTTCTAAAAAGTTTACAATATATACATAATATAATTTAACATTTTAAAAATATTTTCATATTTCAATAAATACATATATATCTCCTATAGAACTAAATCTCTATCACCTATAATATCAAAAATGGACCTTAAGATAATAAAATAGTAAAATGGTCAAAGAAATCAGTAAAGTGACAAGGTATTTATTTCATACAGGGTGTTTTTCAAAGTATTGCAAACTTGAGTAACTCTCAACAAATTTATGTCGGAACACCTTATCTCTAACTGCTGTATTGTTTTCAGCTATTACTTCTCCAACAGTTTCTGTTGAGGTTTCCCTACACCTACCGATTCAAGTTTTGTTTTGTAGTATCCATTTTTATTAATCATTTATAAAAATATACATACATATATAAAATTTACCGATTGTATACATAGGAGAGTCCTTTAACAGTCCAGAAAAAGTATTTTCGGGAAGTATTACTTACAATACTTTTTTAAAAACCGACTCAGTGTTGTACCATCAACAAATTATTAGTTTTATACTATAACCTATTCAAAATCCCAGAGTCTATGAAAACCAATTCAAAGGCGACTTACACTAAATTGAAGTAGTCACAAACAACAAAAAAGGTAACAAAAAGATGCCGGTAAAAGTATATTATCCAACAAGTTTGGTAAACGGCATTTGAGTCACAAGTTTTGTTTTGGTACGAGGGTAGCGCAGCGGATGAATACATTCACTGCAGAATGAACTGACAAAGGGTAAAATTCAAGTCGCGGGCAATATCTCCGAAAACATCCGATCGTTCCCAAACCCGAGAGTAATATCCCGAAAATGCGCGAAGTGGCTCGCAGCCATAGATAACAAAACTGACGTCGTAAAATAAGCCATTAGAAAATGATATTCGTTAGTTACTCGAAACCACACATCGAAATATTAAACAATCTTAAAATGCTTACCTAAAAAATACGATTAAGTAATTAGTTGTTAAATAACCTTAATAGACAGTTGAAATACGTTGCACCACCCAGATCTTGAAAACATATTTTTTAAAATGCTTTTTACTTTTTTGTAACCGTATAGCGGGCGGCTCACAGTAGATGGCTTATTAGAGGTATCTGGCGGATAAACGGATTTACTTTAAATTATACCGGGTGATGTAAGAGGAAGGGTTTATCGCTGCAGGGTTGCAACTTGGCAACATATTTCTTACTTTAAGTGGATTTTACTCAGGAAATAATATAGATAAATAATTTTGTAGAAATTTTCCTCTAACGTTATCGACGTAAAAAATATCTTTTTTTCTGTGCTTAAAACCGAAGTTTTCCAGACAGTTCTTGGAAGGGCTCACACATTCTTACCCGGCATGGCATTTTAGATGGAACCTGGATGCTGGATGGACTTCTAGAAACATATTTTTTTTATTAAACCCCCCTGTATATTCTTTCATTTTCTAATTCTAGGAAAGAAAATAACCGGGTTTTGTTCAAGTTTACTTTACTTCTCTTACTGATTTTGAGATAAAAGATAATTATAATGATTTTTACATAATATCAAGATTTTCATCATCAACGTCATTTCGAAAAAAGTTTCGCACATGGACAGAATAAACTTTGCAAAAACCTCTTTTAGTTTTAGTTTCTTCCCAACTTTGGGAGTTTCGAGAACGGGCAACATAGTTGGATAGAAACTAAAATTAAGTGACAATAGGATTTTAACAAATTCATTCAGTGCGTGTTGATATTAAAGTAAAAATAATGAAAATTAATTTTTATTTCACAGACGGTAAGAGGTAGCCATAGGGAAAACCAAAACTAACCAAAATTAGGTTAGTTTCTTTCCTATTTAAAAAAAAACTCAATATAGGGTGCTTCTAGAATTTCCGTATAAAATCTACGTTTTGAAATACCCCCCATAAGAAATGGTGTACCGGGAAAGAATTCATGGGCCCTTCCAGGAACTGTCTGGAAAAGTTCGACTTTCTCTTTTAACGGAACGGAACCACCAATTTCTTCAAGAGTCCAAATTACAGCGACTGATATTTAAACTAAGCAAGATGTTGCCACCTTTATGTATAAGGTTGTTCGGAAAGTCATTTCGTTTTTTCCCGTCAGAGGACTTAATTACGTTTTTTCGAAATCAACTTAAGCCGCATAACCATTATATGTCTTGAGAGCTGATATTGCAAGGCTTGTGTGTGAAAAAGTTCTATTAATTCTACGCAGTAGTTTTTGGTTGGTGCCCTTTTAAATATGGAGAGCAATAAGCAGCATTTTCGTCATATTTTACTTTTTTACTTCAGAAAAGGTAAAAATGCTGTCCAAGCGAGAAAAAAATTGACGGATGTGTATGGAGAAGGCGTGTTAACAGTACGCCAGTGCCAGAACTGGTTTGCAAAATTTCGATCCGGCAATTTTGATGTCGAAGATGCACCACGGTATGGAAGGCCGGTCGAAGCTGACAAAGATGCGATAAAGGCATTAGTTGATGCAAATCGGCGAATAACCACACGCGAGATCGGTGAGAGATTAAATTTGTCGAATTCGACTGTTTATGGCCATTTGAAAGGCATGGGCTTAACCTCGAAGCTCGATGTGTGGGTGCCCCATGTCCTTACGGAGCGAAATTTGTGTCGTCGCGTTGACGTGTGTGATTCGCTCCTCAAACGTCAAGAAAATGATCCATTTTTGAAGCGGATTATTACTGGGGACGAAAAATGGGTTGTATACAACAATGTTAAACGCAAGAGGTCATGGAGCAGAAAAGATGAACCGGCTCAAAGCGTGTCAAAAGCCAACATTCACCAAAAAAAGGTGATGCTCTCCGTTTGGTGGGATGTCAAAGGAATCGTTTTTTTTGAGCTTTTGCCGGAAGATACAACGATTAATTCAGAAGTCTATTGTCATCAACTGGACAAATTGAATGATTCACTTAAAGAGAAGAGGCCCGAATTAATCAACAGGAAAGGTGTAGTGTTCCACCAGGATAATGCGAGACCTCATACAAGTTTGGTCACTCGCCAAAAACTTTTACAGCTTGAATGGGACGTACTGCAACATCCACCATATTCTCCAGATCTGGCGCCTTCCGACTACTATTTGTTCCGGTCCCTGCAAAATTTTTTGGATGGCAAAACCCTTACCTCAAATGAAGATGTCAAAAACCACCTGAACCAGTTTTTTGCCAGCAAGGACCAAAACTTTTATGAGAGGCGAATTATGTTACTGCCAGAAAGATGGCAAAAGGTGTTGGACCAGAATGGCCAATATATAATTTAATAAAATATTTATTCATTATACGAAAACTGTCTTTCATGTTCCCCAAAAAAAACGAAATGACTTTCCGAACAACCCAATAGAACCGGCGACCCAACACAACAAATTTAAAGTAAATCGGTTGATCGGTTCTACAGGTACTTCTATTAGGTTTTCGACTGTATGTAACCCTTTTAAAACATTGTACTATTGTACCACCCTGTATATAAGCTATTGCAGAAGCGGACAAAAATAAATTTTAGAGAATTTATTTTTTCCAACTGAACATTTGCCTGCTCCGACTTTTTCTAAAATTCGAAGTTTTGATTTATTTTTTGGTAGTTTTGGCAGCAAATTATTTCTGTTTTATAAGCCCTAAGCCGCTTTCTAATCACCATAATCCGGATCGGAAGGGGGAGGAGCGACCTAACGAAGTGTCAATTTGGTCGGCGATGGCATAATCTGCGTAAGCATATGCGCGCCGGAACAAAGCCGCGTCAACCTGCCCGACGTTTCGACTAGTCCGGTTTAACACTCAATTTGGCATATTGTGCACCACGTCAGAGAAAAGAGCGACATGT